CGATCTCTTCTATTTTTCATACTTTTGTTTTTTTTTAAGTATCCACATACTTTTGTTATTAAGAAACTTTTTCAAAACAATAAATAATTGTGCGGAAGTTCACAAAGTGGTCAGAAGTAATGTATTCTTATGTTTCCGCTTAAAAATTCAGAATTGAAAAATTCAACAGTAAAGGTCTTATATCGCAAAATCCGAAGGCAATTTCGCAGGAAAAAAAATTTGAGGTGTCCTCATACTAAAATCGACCTTCATGGAGGTACGGTACCATGATAATCGGGCAATTTACGCATTTCGGTGGCGAAAGAAGCTTTCAGCTCCTTGCTTTATCAACGGTGATCGGTTGTAGATCAATTTAGGAAAAAATACTCGCCACCGAGTGCTGGAAAGGCCCACGAATAGCTCATTTAATCCTTCTTGTCAACACCCCTTTTCGCTTGCATGTTATTGACCGCGGTTTCGAAGGGAACCCTGGGAAAACTAAACAAGATCATAGCGGGAAGCAGTGCTTACTGCCATATTATTTGCCAAAATATTGCTTAGTTTTTATTCAAAAAGTCGACCTGATCTCAACTGCCTATACGTATGTAGGGCAGCATATCGCAATTCTGTCGTACTTCCTGACGAAGTTCACGTCCTACAATCAAATCCAGCGCTATTCGACTTAGCAGTGAGGAGGGGATGGTTGGGGCAGAGATTGACATTTTGCTAGTTCTTACTGAAGTGGAGATTTGTAGCCTTTCGTCAAGCAAATACAATGTAGCTCATAGCATTTCGTAGGTTTACATGGGATTACAGGGCTAATCATAGCGGTTCGGCGAAACTTGCTCTATTTCACAGTTTTACAAGTTCGTAGGTCTTAGTCGAGGCGAGAAACGAGCAAAGTACCCCCTCCCCCAAGTGATACAGCCACAGTCAGTTTCTTACTGAGAAGATTAAACTCAGTCAAACGAGTAGTACCACCCAACCAAGGCGATTTCAAAGATAGAATGGCACGCAGAAGTTTCTGGTAAAATGAAATCTCCAAACCTCTGTTGCAAAGGCACGATTCTCAGCGTCCAACATTCCAACCAAAGTTAGTCTATTTCCATCCGACACCGACGCCTTCAAGAAATATGGGTTTGAAATATTCCGCGAAAATCAAGAGTTCCGTCTGACTTACCTTGCAATCTACCTCTTCGAGAACCTCCATCACATCTACGTCACTTCCAAAATTGGAGCGAGCTGATTCTGCAGCAGATTCGCTGATTTCGTCCAACACCACTATGTCATCGTCATCGTCTTGGTTTTGAAGAACTGGACCAGCCTCATCAATAGATGAAGTATGACCTCTAAAAAAAGAGTTTAGCTCACCAGCCTTTCATCGCTTCTGCATTCGGAGGGGCCGCGTTTCATACTCTGCGGCAGTGGGAAATCTAAGATCTCATAACGGGTGGAACTCGTGAAAGAAAAATATGCGTATTGATCTGGAGACTCAAAGAACCCGCCGTAATTGTGCGTAATGTAAATGCAAAGTATACTCTAGTTCGCTGCGGACGGTTGGGCGTGTCAGGCAGTATGAGTGTGTCACGCCGTCAAAGCCGTTCTCTGCCTTCTTGTTGAAGCGCGCATGCGACAACCAGTGGTAGAAAACTACCACTCGCTCGCTTTAACAACTGGTGGAGAACGGGTTGGCACTGAGCCGAACACATGTCTGATACACCCAACTGTCCGCAGCGAATACACTATATGTTCGTGACACAAAGTAGAGTAGCTATCCGGGCGGAGCTCCGAATAAGGTCCACTGTGTGCGGGGGTACTATGGTTTCGCACAAGGCGAAAGATCGCCTGCGAAAGTTTCCCAGGTCTCACTTCAGTGTATCGCAGATATACGTTGTTTTATGGAATTTCATATGGTAATAAACTTGACTCCACCCCTGGCGGCTCTGCCCGTCTATTAGAGTCTATTAATTGCACTGTAGCCCACCTATGCACTTATGAACGCCAAGTATGAATGCGGCCAGAAAGTTTATGCACTAATTATAATTTCATATCAGAAAGAAGAACCACAACTAACGCATATCGATCAGTTTTGTCGTATCCAGCAGATTTCCAGTGTTCGAGTAGTGAAGAAACCCTTTGTTCATACTCTGCACGATATTCAGCTAACGCATCGACTGCTTCAACGTTTCGCATTATAAGAGGTCGTAAACCGTGACCTTTAACATTAATGAGACGTTTCGCCTTCTCTATTCGTCTGCGAACCTGGTAAGAAAACATGTGAATATTTGGAGCCATTGATGAAAAGAAACCAAAACCAACTTTGCCAACTTTTCTGATCTGGCTGTTCAAAAACTCTTCCAAGGCCAATAAACCACTGATCATCTCAACACTTGTCACTTCTGCGTCATAATCTGCACACTCCCTAGGAAATAAGACACGATGCAACACTTTTCAAACAAATGCCGAAGGCTTCAGAGTTTCTGAACGGGAACCTTCTTGCTTAGCCAATTTTTCTGAGAGCAGTCATGGGAGGAAGGCATTGTCGTGGTTTTGCGCGACTTGTGCAGAAACTGGTGGTGTAGTAAAGGAAGGCAAGTAAGACCAGAAGAAGTCTCCAACTTCTCTGTTCTTGCAACTCGGCATATAAGTTGTGATTCGTTTCTAATTTAACGACGCTATTTGCTCTTTGCTGCCCCAATACTATGAAATGAAGCCAGTTTCTTACAGACTTATTTGAGGGCAGATTTGGCTAAGATTTGTTCTCTGCGGTAGTTCGACCTCCAGACGAACAGCACATTCGGCTAGAAACTGCCTGCCGTCCGAGCCATAGGCCCCCTCCCTAATAACCTGAAAAGCAAAACTTGCTGAAAACTTGTCTCCACGAGGTAGTTTGGTCCTCTGAACATGCTCCTTCTGCGTGGAGTCCCAGTGGAGTTATGGATGAGGAAAGGAGCACAAATGCTAGCGCAGCCGGCTGCGCTTGTCTGAACCTTTCACCCAGATAGTGGTCCCTTCCTCGCTAAGGCCGAGCCTTAGCAACGAGAAATACAGTACCGGAAAGGATACGGCCTTGTCCAGCCGTGTTTCCTTAACTGCCCTAGCACATCGCTTGACATGAAACAGCCAGGAGTCCGCGATACAGGTACCGAGGTCAAAACAAGCATGTGTTGCCATCGACTGAAGCGATTTCCTGCTAAGGAATGGGAGATATTCAAGTTCAAGAGGACGAACTAACCCTTGGACAACTTCTAAACGTATATGGTAATTTCGGGTATCTTGACGCGAGCGCGAGGCGGTTTCGGGCCAAACGGACGTGATACTTCCGCTCACGAGGTTTAGTTAACACTGGGTACAACTTTTCAGCCAAGTGTGCCCATTAAAATTCGGTAAAAAAACTGGCCCGACTTCGGACCTCATTGAATAGTGAAACCGGGAAGTGAGGCGTTTCACTTGTTTTGTGCCTTGCAAGGTTGTTAGGTAGGACATTCACCAGAATGGCCTAACGTTTTGCCTGAGTCTTTCCACTGTGTGAGCGGGTTAAGCCCGTTGCCACGAAAGCCTTGGTTAAATGTAAATTGATAATAATAGATTTACAACTAACCAGCGCTCTCGTGTCGCCGCGGACAATTTTCCGTGAGCAGCGACTGCAATGGCATGAGCATGTACTGAGAGGGATTGAAGGCCATCCAATGAGAAAGGCGCTGGAATTCGAAGTACAGCGGCAAGCGACCATGAGGAGCCCTAAAGAAAAGATGGAGGGACGTCATCAAAAAGGACCTCACCAAAATGGGTGCCACTGCGCAGGATTAGAACACGTGGCGATGTTCTACAAGAACAGCGGACCCTGCGACGGCGCGGGACTAATGCTGAGGAAAAGAATAAGAAAAGGTTAGTTAACTGAGTATAAAAGTACTCACTCCACAACTACTTCACTAAGCAACAGCTCCTCATTCTGAACGGGATTTTCCAAACTTTGAGTCATCGAGTTCGAAGAAGTCACGGCACTTTCTGCTTCTGGGTTTCCTTCTTCTTGTTCCATGGGGACCACGGTATCTTCACCATTCAACTGATTGTCGAGCATATTTATAACAATCTCAACCGCCGACATTGTACTGTAAAAATATTATTGGTAATATCTATAACTATCCAACTCTACAAGTAACCATGAACGGATAGACAACTTACTCCTCCAAAATATCTTCTATGAGCATGACATTAGTAACCTAAATTAGGGTACTTTCTTCACAGTACAACCAGTAAAGAAGTCTTCCTGCGACTTCACAACATCGATAACCAGTGAACATCTAGGATCACATGAAGAACATACAATTCGCTTCACCCTTACCAGGAAGTCCGCCAACTTACCATGGAACTTTGAATGGAGACCTGGGTAGATCGATAGTCTATAAGGTTATTTACAAATATAGATAGCAAAACTGCAACCTGCATTTCACAAGCAACTTATGAGCAGGTAAAGTTTGTAATGGTGCAGTAGGGTGGAGGCTTGGTGGTGAGCTGTGAAGCATAAGCGAGGAATCGCATACGTCCAAATCGAGTCATGCTGTGCCTGTGAAGCGAGTACCTTACCACTGAACCACCACGACTCGATTCGACGTATGCGATTCCTTTATGCTTCACAGCTCACCACCAAGCCTCCACCCTACTGCACCATTACAAACTTTACCTGCTCATAAGTTGCTTGTGAAATGCAGGTTGCAGTTTTGCTATCTATATTTGTAAATAACCTTATAGACTCTATCGATCTACCCAGGTCTCCATTCAAAGTTCCATGGTAATTTGGCGGACTTCCCTGGTTAGCAATCTTACTGATATTTCTATTCTAAAACTACGCCATCGTCATTTAAGGACTCTCCAGTGGTTTACTGACCCCGATGAATTTTTCAATTGTGAAGCAGCAGTGCAATTACAAGGTATTCTTGGAAATTTCCGAATTGTTCAACCGCGCCCAGGTTATCAACGCAAGTGACCAAGCTGTGCCCGCAAAGAAGACGCTAGGCTGAAATGATAGTTTGCGAATGTAGAATATCCACGCATGAATTCTGATAATCCGCGAATAGAAAGAATCGCTTGGAAGAGTGATAGAGCCTTCATACTTTGCGCCAGCAATTTGAGCGTCCGCCAGCGTTGTGCACTAATCGATAACTACGCTCAGAAGGCTGGAGACGCTCAATACTAGATTGATACTATATCTGAGTCGCTGGGAACGATGGCTGTGACAGAACAAAAGCTGACGACGTAGGTGGACGCTCGAAAGGCTGAAGCTCAGAATGCTCGAAACCTAAAAACGGTGGTATACGCTCAAAAGCTGATGCAAGTATGAGCTTATTCCAGGGCACACGTTGTTGGGGAATCCAAAATAAGGGGGGGGGGGTCGTATTTGGTCGCCAGGAGGGGGGGGTCGTATTTACGTTTTGGCGTTGTAGGAGTGGCGGTTGACTTTTGGTAAAGTAGGGAAGTTTTCGGGAAATTTTGGAAAAAAGGGGCAGGAAGTTGGGGAAAATCTGATTGTAGAGGGGGGTCGTATTGTCTCGCGGCTTTTCCTGTTTCACATGTGCTATTTACCCCCCCCCCCCCGCTCGACGGCTCGATTCGATGAGGAAGGACAGAGGGCTGGGGGGGGGTCGTATAGAGTCGACTAAAATCCCCAACCAATGATGTGCCCTGGCTTATTCTAAGACGGGTATCTTTTGACTCCCTCCACTAGCGCTTTCCGAGAATGTTCAGAGTCGGAGAACGAATCAGGAAAACTTCGACTTTGTGAGTTTTCCAGAGCGATACTGACATTTTTCTTAGCGCGCACTCTTTCGATTTGCGGGTTCTCCATGTGCTTCACTACAAATACAGCGACATCTGGTCAGGAGATCACCTCATACAAGTGGAAACGCGGCAACGGTAGCTCTATAGCTCTATGAGCCACTCAGAATAGTCACCCTGGTTGCCTGAACCTTTGATGGGAGGAAAAATGAAAGGTGAAAGGGGAACAGGGAAAGTAATAGAAGAAAGGGTAGCAGGAGGAGGGAGGGTTCGCACTCTGAAAGCCCTGCACAGTGCTGTAGCATTGACGCATTCATCACACCAATCATCAACCAAACGACTCTGCCCATCCTTTCTCAACGCTTTCTGTGGTACTAATGGTAATATGGGTTTTAAAAAAATAGTAGAATGTATAGAGAAAAATTGGGTTAAAAGAAAACTGTGAAGGCTGACCTGAACCAAACTTCCGACTTGACACTCTCACTAATACGCGGTGAACATGAAACTCAGTAGAGGCACTGGGGCTTCGTCGTTATCACCTAAATAAATGGTGAAAAATTAGCAAACGTCGCACACCTTCATTTTCAAAAAATTCAGGCGATTTCGCACATTGACGCCCTAAGCATGACCAAAAGTTGGTGTCATAAAGATGTACAACAAAAAGAAGCATCGTGAACCGAATTTTTTTTGGAAAGGATTTTTCGCA